TTTGGTAAAAGCTCATTAAAGTGGAGCTCCAGTCTCCTTTGAAAAAATAAAAATCAGTAGCTATAAAAACTGTAGCTGCTGTTAAAAAACAGCCACTCACCTGTCACTTGATCCAGCAGCGTGATCACCAGAGCCGGGTCCACTGGCCGTCGCTATCTATCGGGATCTTTATTATGGGCACCCAGCTGTGACAGCTTGCAGCTTCACAGCTGAGTGCCCAGTGAACATGCACGAGCAGAGCTACACATTGTGAATGGTCCCACAGTCTTCTGGAACCTGTCATGTGTCTTAATGGGGAGGAGGGGGACAAGTCCTTAAAGTGAAACTTCCCCTTTTGGGTGGAGCTCTGCTTTAATAACAAAGTGTTTTGCTTCCTTACTTTACTGCAAAGTGGCCAAAAATATTCAAGCAAAGCAGTCATTAAGTAAGGAGGTAGCGAGAGAAGGAAGAGGATTTGGTTTGGTCCAAAAACAGGTTCAGATGGAATTTATACTGCTTCAATACATAAGAAAGCTTCCCACTGTCAATGGTTCCTATGGAACTAATAGTGCAGACACCCAGTGAGTCTTTTGCAACCACCACCATGTAAGCAAAGAGACAAGGATAGCAGTGACATCACTGCCCAAACATGGCCACTTACCAGTTTTGTCAATGATATTACTAATATCCCCACCTCTTTTCCTTATATGGCTGATGATAGTTTGGGTAGCTATTTACGTTTACATTTTTTGTGAATTGGTAGGGATATTTTGAGGAGGGGTCTGTGTGAGATTTTTTTTTCATTTGTTAACAATTTAAAATCATTTTTCCTGTGTAAATGTCAGTGCCTTAAAAAATAATTGCTCCTGGCCTAGTGGCATAAAAAAAAGAAAAATTGCACTAATACATGTTCCCTAATGCAGTTCCCCCCCATGCTATTTTTTTTAACCTTTTTGCCTATTATCCCAGAAAGTAGGCCTTTTTTATTTAACACATTTGGCTTAATTTCAATGGGGGTTGGGTCCAAAATTCTTTGAGGTTCGCTGAAAGCCTCTCGAATCGAACCCAGGGAAGTTTGGCTCATCCCTAATGAAAATGAAACACTAAGTGCCTATAACTTCAAAAACAAATTAGCAAAGGCAGTCCACAATTTTCTGTCCAAACAAACACCCTATAAGTATTAGCCAGTGCTAACAAATTGTTTTTTGTAGATGTCATCAACAACAAAAAAAACAAATAGAGGTTCAGGTTCTCATTTTTCACTTGTGCCTATAAAACGTTAGCTATGAACCAGGCATGTCATCTAAGCCTTTTCTTTTTTCCACCCCTGAGCTATAGATTCATTGCTGCACTGTCAGTAAGCATACTAGATATCTAATTCTTTATTTACTATGATTTCCTTAAAGATGTGCATAATGTGACTCTGAACATTACTATCTGACAGAAGAATTACGTTATTTTTCATGATGTGCATTAGGAACAGGCCAGAATTTGAAAATAAAAGTTATGCTATAAAATTCATATTGCTGCATTTCCCTGTAAATCCTAACAATTTTTGTTTACTACTTTCAACCCAAGTGTCCTACAACTTGTATAATAGGTTCATATGGTATAGCCCTTTTGATCTTTGATTTGTGGATGAACTGGTTTTCTGCTCTAGGTACCAGCTGTAGAAGTATATAATTCTAATAGCACTAATGTACAGTTCCAGGATGTCACACAAAATGTTGCCTGACTGCCCATTATTTTCAGGCACAATGAATGTAAGCAGGAGGTAGAAGCAGTTAAATATGACCTGAAGCAATGGGTACATGCTTCTACTCACTCTGATGGCAACACCCTTGACCTTGTATTCTCCTACCTATATGCTCAATGCAACCTCTCCAACAATCCTTTTCTTCTCTCTGATCACCAGCTTATTAGTTTCACTCTCTCCTTCTCTTCCACCACCTCTCCCTCCCATTACCTAACAATTACCTTTGTCACATTAACCCTTCTCTTCTCTACTCTGCACTGAACAAGCTTGCCCCTCTCACTACACACAGAAACAGGCCCCAAACCCTAAAGCCCTGGCAAACAGATGACACCAGAAATCTCAAAACACTTAGCCGAGCTCTTGAGCATCTGTGGCATAAGACTAAGTCTCAGAGAGACTTCAACAAATATCAATCTGCCCTCCAAAAATACAATTCCTGCCTCCACACTGCCAAGCAGACCTATTTTATCACTCTCATTAACATCTTCTCATCCAGTCCCAATCAGTTTTTTCTACCTTTAACTCTCGGCTTTGTCCTCCACTGCCTCCACCCACTAACTCACTGCGCAGGAGATTACCAATCACATCAATAATAAGTTTAATACAATTTGTGATTAAATCTCCACTCTACAGATATCCCCCCCCAACTCAACACTCCATGTTCACAGGTACACTCGGCACTTTGTTTATTCAACCCTGCTATTATAGACGAGGTTGCTAAACTTTTTTCTAATGCCCACCTAACCATTTGTCCCCTGGAACTTATTCCTTCTCTAATACTGTGGTTACCCTCTGGCTCTATCCTACACTCTCTAACTCACATATTCAATCTCTCCCTCTCTTCTGGCATCTTCCTCAACTCTCTAAAACACTCACTAGTTACCCCCCCATGCTTAAAAAACCCTTCCTTGGACCCCATCCATTTTAATAACTTACACCCCATCTCTTTGCTCCCCTTTTACTCCAAACTCCTTGAACGCCTGGTCTACACCCAGCTTGATCCCCTTCAGTCTGGATTTTGCCCTCAACACTCCAAAGACACTGCTCTCTTAAAACTCACAAACAATTTGCTAAAAACCAATGGAAACTATTAAGTATTCCTACTTCTGACCTTTTGGCTGCCTTTGATACAGTTGACCACTTTTTCCCTTGGTCCCCATGACTGTACAATTCATTGGTTCTCATCCTACCTATCCCACTGCACCTTCAGTGTCATTTGCAATTCTACTTCCTCCTCGCCTCTTCCTTTCTCTGTCAGGGTACACAGAGGTTCTGTTCTAAGACCTCTCCAATACTCAATCTACACTTCCTCCCTTGGGTCAGCTGATAACCTCCCATGGTTTTCAATATCATTAATATGCTGATGACACCCAAATCTATCTCTCTACCCTTCAGCTCACAACATCAGTCTCCTCACGTATCACTACTTTACTGACCAACATATCAGTCTGGATGTCACACCACTTCCTCAAACTCAATCTATCAAAAACCGAGCTCATAATATTTCCTCATGGGCCCCTTCCCCTGACTTCTCTGTCAAGATCAATGGCACAACCATCAACCGCCCCCACATACTAGGATGCTAGGTGTAATCCTGGACTCTAAACTCTCCTTTTAACCCCACAACCAATTACTTTCCAAAGCTTTCCATCTCTGTAACATCTCCAAAATATGCCCCTTCCTAACCAATGACACGACAAAGCTCCTCGCCCACTCCCTGGTCATGAATGCTGCTACCAGACTCATCCACCTTACCAACCAGTCATTGTTTACCATCCCTATCTGCCAATCCATCCATTGGCTGCCACTCACCCAACAAAATAAATTCAAAATACTAATAATATTTTTATAAAGTCATCCATAACTTAGCCCCCAGCTACATAACTAACCTAGACTCAAAATACCAACCAAACCATTCTCTTCGTTCCTTTCAAGACCTCCTGCTTCCTAGTTCCCTTGTTTCCTCTGACCATGCTCGCCTCCAGGACTTCTCCCGAGCCTCTCCCATCCTTTGGAACTCGCTACCCAAATCTTTCCGGCTATTTCCTGCTCTGTCCACTTTTAGGTGATCCCTGAAAACGTTTCTCTTCAGTGAAGTCTATCCTGCCTCCACCTAACAACTGTACTTTTATTTTCTCCATCAACTCATCCCCCACAGTTATTACTTTATGTATCACTTGACCCTCCCCATTTAGATTGTAAGCTCTAATGAGCAGTGCCCTCTAATTCCCCCTGTATTGAATTGTATTGTACTGTTTGCCCTCATGTTGTAGATTGCTACGGAAACTGTTAATGCTGTATAAATCCTGTATATTAATAATAATACCTAATGTTGATGTTGTGGCAGGTGAAAAGGGGTAGTCAAAGCTGTTATTTCCATGATCGCTGTTCCTATACCATTGAAGTGAATAGAGTACACAAGGACAGGTAACATACCTCCAAACTTTGCAAAATGGGAAAGTGGGACATATTTTAACATGAGGTATATAGGCAAACGAAACAACCTTGTCGTGCTTTATTGGTTTAGTTTATAATACTATTTTGCTTTTATTTTGGCTTTTTTTAAACTATATAGAATAATTTAAATGTTAGATATAAGCTTTCGTGCAGTAAAACAATTTTGATAATTAATACATGATTTATAAAAATCCTTACATCAGGCCATAAAAGGGAAAACTAAGGAAAAAAAAGGGATGGAGGGATTTGGTTTCAAAAGAGGGACATGCAGGAGGTATGAGATAATAAAGCACCAATTACATTAAAACATTAGTTTAACATAACTGTAGCCCTGTCTACAACTCTATACATCTGTTTGCATTTATAATTAAGTGAAGTGAGTAGCAGCTTTTCCTTTTCTTAGGAAATTGTGTCTTCAGCTGAAAAAAATGACAGTGAAACCAGTACATATTGTACAGTATTCTGCCAAACTGGGGCACAGATGGCTGCCCTCTTGTTCGGGAAAACTGGCTGCCTAGCTTTTGACAATTTTCCATTTGCTATAAAGAGGAGGTAGATTTGCGTAATCTGAACAGTAGCAGCAGTTACTACTGGTAACTTTGTAACCAAGTAAAACAAGCAAATGAAAAATATATTTTTATGTAACTGATATACAACATATAATGAAAACATTTAAAAATTCTAAAGAATAATAACTTTTTACAGTATGTCTTAATGTACATAGCTGAATGTTTAACATTAATCTTGGTCCACACTGACACAAAAATATATATATATTTTTTTACTTATAAATTATATAATTAGTGTTGCGCTCCACACAATTAAATAAAATAAATTATATTAAGTGAATATATAAATATTACTAATGATGCCTCAGTGGATATTGTATGTGACCATATATATAGTGATACAAAACATAATTATATTTTGGATCACTACAGTATATATATGGTCACATACAATATCCACTGAGGCATCATTAGTAATATTTATATATTCACTTAATATATTTTATTTTATTTAATTGCGTGGAGCACGACACTAATTATATAATTTATCAGTAATTTTGCACAGGCATATGAGTATGTGTCACAGTGTCAGTGAACCACTATAATTTATTATGTTTAAATTTCACTAATTCATATATGCACAGTAATTAATTTTACCATAGTAGCTCGCAAGCACCATATAAATTTATATATATTTTTTTAAATGAAGTATGTTTTTAAAAAAAAAATTTTTTATTTTTTTCAATAAACAATTTATATTTTTTAAGAGCTAATTAAGTGTAGTAACTCATAGCAGCCTATCAGAATTTACTCTGATATAGAAAGAATAGTATAAGATATATTCTGGTTGTATGCTATGAGATACTGCAAACTTAATGCTGTACTCTGACCCAAAACTATTTTTGTACATTTGCACTGTACAAATAAGTTACCATTAATGAAGTGTGTTCCATGTGTGGCTGCTGCTATATTTGTGAACATTCTTGCTTGCTCCACATCTCCTCTATTTAGAAAACAGCTTGCATTCTTTTCACAGAATGCAAGACATTCTGTGAAGGGAGGAAGAGTAGATGAAGACAATCTGCCCTCCTCCAATCAGCTTTAAAATGCACTTGTGTCAAGAACATGGACATTGGAGTATTTTATATTCGTAAAAATCTTTAAAACAGGTTGAATATTTGTGTAACGGATAGTGTAATACTGAACTGGATGTTCTAAATAAAGAACCTAAAAAAATAGATATTGAGACAGAGGCAGAATGTCCATAAATGCGTAGCCCTCCCTTGGCACTTTCTGGCATCTGATGTCACTGAATTGTTTCCCACGTTGTCATAGGAGCTTCTCTGCTTTCTGGTTGTCTGTGAGTCGGTACTGCTAGCTGTACATTGTGGACTGGATTCCCTGCAACCGTGATACTGAGGTTTCCAGCAGCAGACCACCAGATTGAGATGCTGGTGACAAGCGCTTATTCTTCTGATGCATGTGAGTTGCCTATTTGTCTATTTATTCAATAAATATGTTTACTACACTTAGATTGTGCCCTCTGCTGTCTGTTTGCTTCAATTCCTTTACAATGCCTACAGTGTCAGTGATGAATAGGTGTTTTTTTAAGTGCTCATACTGCTACTTCTAAAAATATATAAATACTTTACATAGGAACATAGAAACGTGACAGCAGAAAAAAGACCAAGTGGTCCATCTAGTCTGCCTTTTTTTGTTTTGTTTTATACTTGTTTTTGATTTATTGTGCATAGTTTGGGCACAAGTTCACTATAAGAATAACAACTCTTTATAAAAATGCAACCTGTTCTCTGCCCAAACAAGAGCAGAAAACACAGAGTGCAAACATGCCTATAGAATAGTCAAAAAAGCTGCTTAAATGCACTCACAAGAGTATGCCCATATTAGCGGTATAGTGGTGTAATCTGGACAGACTCAAGGGGCTGCTCCTCTGCCAAGGCTGGAGATGTCAGCTGTGAAAACGTCCAAACATGTATGCTCCGAGCCAGAGCTGTGTGCCTCCATAGACATGAACACAATGACTAGCAGGTCATTCTCCTGCTCTCTCACAATGCACACCAGCCTCTGCGTTGTAACGGGACCCTCAAGACTCCACTGTTAGGCTTAGTGTAGAAGTGAGTTCTTTTTTTGTAAAAACAACTAGTTGATTTTCGATGCATTTAAGTTCAATTAATATTTTCCAATGGTATACCCCACAAAGTTTTCAGTAAATAACCTTGACTTTGTCTCTCATCCATTTACTCCCTTTAAATACATGGCATTTTCTTTTATGCTTTCAAACTACTTTATACCTGGCAATCTCTAGCTCACCTTTAAATCAATCCTGGTATCATTCCTAAACATGTCACAGATACAAATTGTCAAGCACACACTGCATTCTCCGTGATAGAGTACAGATGAAAAGAGAACAGCTCATCCTATGAATTGTCCAATCAGCTGTGAAGGAAGCTTTGAGAGGTGCCAACAGCCCCCAGGGAGGTGTAACAGCTCGGTGACATCTCCTTGTCACATCCAGCAAACCAGAAACTAGGATCAAACCTATTACACCCAGATTGAAGTAACACTGCTCCCAGCTGTGTCAGGTCCATGAACAGAAATGTAAAAACCGCTTAGAAATTGAATATTAACTCCAGTTCTAACGGTTGTTTAAATATTATTTTTATCCGTAAAGGGCTAGTGGCTGCTCCTGATATAGTTGGCTCGTAGCCTGTCGTTATTGAAAAATGCACGCTTCATTTTTGAAGTGTCAGGATTTATCAAGAAGGGGATTACTGAGCTGTTTGCTGTGATTGGCTGACATGCTATTTGCTACACTGTACACGCATAATATCTTTCCCTGCAAAGCATGTCATCTAAGCATCTGTCACAAAAGCCAATACACAATTGGCTCAAAGAGTCCTTTGAAAGTGCTATTTTTAGAACTGGCTTTTATGTGTTTAAATTTAACACAAAGTCAGTTTGTCTTAAGTGAAGTAATTAAGCTGGCTTTGTTGTCTATTATAGTGTAAAGGTTATCTTATCTTCACATCTTACGAAATATTTTTATTTCACGTTACTATATTATACTGTATATACACTGTTTTTTGTCTCTAGTCTGAGCTTCAGTTATATTAATAGATATTTCTAAGAAAAAAATTAAAGCTGAACTCTAGGCAAATAGCTAAATACTTACAAGGAAGCTATTTTACCTTCCAAGGATTTGCATTTCTATCCATGTAGTTTTGAGATTTATGCAGCTCTATTACAAACATATCCCAGTCTGGCAAAGCAAGAGACCTGATATTTCTCTGTGGACGTAGTACTTATAGGTCTGAGACTGGACAATGAAAGGAGAAGAGTTAAGCCCTTTGTCACACTGTTCTCCTTAGAAGAGGACCTTTAAGTTGACCATACATGGATCGAAATTTGTCCAGCTCAGCAGAAAGTGGCAGAAATTTTGATCCATGTATGGCCACTGTGGTTGAACAGAAGTCAACCTACCCAACAACTTCTGTTCCACCACCTTGTTGGAAGTGTTCACATTGTCAGAATACAAAGACACAGCAGGGAGCATTACCTCCATTCACCCCAAATGTGCGGATGGGGGAATCAGGTCAAATTTTTTCATTCGACCTGTTGGTTAAAAGAACAAAACGGACTCAGCTAAGACCAGATTTACCCTCTCTCACACAGTTTTTCTTAATCTCCCCTCCCCACATTCATTACACAATTGGGCATTAAAAGAAATTTGGAGGGTAAAATGGCTTTTCTGCAGGAGCTGAATCCACACTTTCTACTTTCTCACCTAGGCAAGAATGACATCACCTCCCCCCCAACATCTGAAGTCTCCGGAGAAATTGATGTCACACATCCCAGAGGAGGATTCGGGCAATCCCAACTTCACTATGGATGCATCAGAAAAATTTCTGCTGCACTGTGCATGTGCCAGGAAATTGATGCCTCCTTGCATCATCAGGGAGTCTACTCAAAGAACCCACAAGAGAAATTTGGCCTCTTGGTCACACAAGATGAGGGTGCAGGACCCAGAGAGAGCTTACATCAAACAATGCCAGATTCAGTGGGTGAGTATGTTTTTGTGGACATCCCAGCATTATGAAAAAAAGTATAATAGCAATATAAGCATACTGTAACTGAAAACATACTGCTGCATGAGAGTATTAGTGGATACTTGCCTAGTACAAATTGTGTGCCACATTGTGTCACATTCACAGATGAAAATAACCTTAGCCTCTGTCATACGGAACATATGAAACGTTCATGACAGCTTGTCAAATGTGTAGGGCAAATGTTTAGTAGCATTTAACTTAACGTGTGACTAAATTCAGGACCCTACATTCACTTTATCTGGTCTCCCACAGTTAAAAGAACATGGAAATGCAATTATTTTAGTAAAAAGTAGTAAACTGCTAAATACCTTTTTTCAACATAATTTAGAGCAAACATGTGACTTCTATCTGTGTCCAGCAGAGCACTGGTCACAGCATTTAGGAGGAGTTTTCATTCTCCCCTGATTGTCCTATGAGTCTGCAGGACCCCTGACCCTCTGCCTGGACAGCGCTGACTGGCCCTGTGCTGATCACATGCACTCTCCCAAGAGAAAAAAAAAAATCTCTAGTAATACACACCAAACTGAGCATGTGCAGTTTGCCCCCAAGGTTCTGTACCATCAGGAAATGGATTGGGGACAGTAGAAGGAGGGGAGATCAGAGGAGATACACAATGCAGTGGATTAACCCCTTAGGTTCCACAGTGAGTATAACAAGGATGCTTTTTGGGCAGCACAGTGGCATTGGGCAGCACAGTGGCTAAATGGTTAGCACTTCCACCTGGCAGTACTAGGGTCACTGGTTCAAATCCCGACCATGGCACCACCTGCCTGAAGTTTGCATGTTCTCCCTGTGTCTGCATGGGTTTCCTCTGGGTACTGTGGTTTCCTTCCACTCCCCAAAGACATGCTGGTAGGTTAATTGGCTCCTGTCTAAATTGGCTCTAATATGTGTACGTATGGATGTGAGTTAGGGACCTTAGATTGCACGCTCCTTGAGGGTTAGGGACTGATGTGAATGTACAATATATATACAATGTAAAGCGCTGTGTAAATTGACGGCGCTATATAAGTACCTGAAATAAATAAATAGTAATTTACTGCACATACAAACTGATTTTACTGTTGTGGGCTTAGTAACACTTTAATGGTGAGATTCAATGCAAAATTTGCACATCTGACTTTACACTGGTTCTTTAGGGTACTGCTACAGATATACAACAGCTTTCAAGCCAGAGATTCCATATCTGGGGCCAAATCAGGTAAATGTATTTTCTCCAAAAATGCTACATATAAGACTGGATCATTGTTTCT